GCCGCGGGAAAGCTAATAATCGGGCAGCAAGCGACCTTCAGCTAAGTCTGAAGCTGGTTGACCACCTTCTTCCGTCTATTGTGTCGCGCCATGCTAGACCAATACATGCCTGTTTCTCCCCGACGGCCACCTTCCTGTGCTTCCTGCGATGTGTCTGATGTGGGTGACCTGTTCTCTGGCGCGACCTTCCGCGACTGCCAGGCACGTCGACCGGTTAGACGCTGGCGGCCCCTGGCGGGATTCGGCGTAGCGGTGTGTGGCTTCTGATGAGATCCCAATGTGGTCGCGTCCACGGATTCCTCGAACCTTCTCTGACTGGACTTCGCTGCATGGCGACGGTACGGCCTCTGATGGTCTGCCCCAGGTTGTTCGTGGTTTGTTGCATTCTCTGGACTTCTGATTCAATCAGCGCTTGCGACAGGCACCCATTTGGAACGCCCCAGGTAGGATATCAACATTATATCGTTCCGGTGCGCTCGCCCACGCGTGCGAGCCGTGTAGGGTCATCTCATGTCGCCTGTCTTGACATTGTCCTGATGGCGAGGCTCGAAGCCGAGGCAACGGAGCGAGGCTGTCGGTTTCAGCATGCGTCATTTGACGAGGGCATTACTCCAGATGATCATTTAATCGTGAAATGAAGAGTGATTTTGCGAAGATAAACGTCTTGGATTACTTTCTGTTTGACATTCACTTGTGTGAAATGGCGGCCATTCGAGCTTGACTCGGACTTTGCTCGCCATACACTACATCTTACCTGAAATTCGTAAGTACAATACCCACGGTCGCATAAGGCGACTATTCCTGCAACCATAGTTCAGCTTGTAAGCTAACCTAACTGATCTGATTATCGGGCTAGAAGGACCTCCGCCGCCCAGCCGTGTGGCTGTTACAGAGCATGTCGTCAGCCGCCAGCAGTGGACGGAGGCAGTGACTGCGGGTGGAAACCAAAGCTCAAGAGATTGCATAAGCTAATGTAGCTGTAGTCGGCTGAGCGCTCTGCCAGCCCAATGGCTGTACCACTGAGAGTCGGTGCGATGACAGTCTGTATACATATACAGCTATGGATCTGTACGCGTCGTTGATGAGGTAGTCCACAGTGGATCAGAGAAGCGCCACACGTCGCTGGTGCAGTGGTTCACGGAGAATCAGTGTAACGATACACGTCACTGGTGCGGTGGTTCATAGAGTCAGTGTATCAACACACGTCACTGGTGCGGTGGTTCATAGAGTCAGGGTAACCACACGCGTCACTGGTGCAGTGGTTCGTGGAGACTCAGTGTAACCACATAGGTCACTGATGCAATGGTTCGTGGAGACACAGTGTGACCACATAGGTCACTGATGCGATGGCTCGTGGAGAGTCAGTGTAACCACACATGTCACTGGTGCGATGGCTCGTGGAGTCAGTGTAACCACACACGTCACTGGTGCGACGCTGCGGTCAGCGGAACCGTGCACGTCATTTGGTGCAGTGAACCGCTAAGTCAGTGAGGACACAGATCTTACCCTGCAGACAGCTTAGTGAAAGCCGGTCATCCACAGACGTCATCAGCGAAGCGGTGCACGGGGAGCACAAGCATCCTTTGATATATGGAAACATTTCGTCTCGTCCGCTTAAAATATACACGTAGGCAAACGGAATCTAACAAAACCCTGTTGCACGCTGCTGCAAAGACGCCAAAGATAAATATTCCTCACAAAACTGTATCGAGGAAACTGTAAACGGCCTGCCGTTCTCACGCGCGCGATGCTCCTTTGAAGAAGCCGACATGTTTACTCTCCGTCTCAGCCGTTAGTGAACGTGTCGCGATGCACCGCACCGCAGCGCTGGTTCAACAACGGGTAGCTGCGGAAGCGATGTGTCTGTTAATGTGTGGGCACTGCGGTGTTTTAATTGTGTTTTGTCTGTTATAAGCTGTTATGGGCCAATTGCCTAGATCATTTAAAGCTGTGAATGGCAGTAATCAGTGTGCGGTTTTAGAGCGTTGGTGAAGAATCCAAATCATGACAGCATGCAGTGATCTAACTCAAATGACGTCATACATACTGTTTTCATCCAATCAGAAAATGTATGAACAAACGTGCAGCGTTTGCAGCTGAGCAGATTATTACAGTGACGAATTGCCACAGATAACATGCTGCAAACAGTAAGAAACTGAAGTGCAGCGCAGTCTGCAGACGGCTGCGCAGAATCGTCAAACAGGTTTTAAATCAAGAGAAGCGCACCAAAATAGAACGCTGGAAATAATGGTATATGACGGCCATGTTCTCAGTCCCAGCATTTCTTTTCGGCTGGCCGTGATTTCCGCTTTCGATTAATGCGTTTTTGGCTTCCACCCGTTCGCAGAATGCTCTGCGACTTGCTCCCTGTTCCGGTGACAACGCATGTGCAGATTTGCAACGCTGTCACAGTGGAACGTTGCTTTGGTACGTCCATGGTGAGTGCCGCACCAAAGACGCCCCTCTGATGTCCCATGCACACGTCGTACACGTGGACAAACGCCAGCTCGGCGCGTATGGAATGCTTCCATGTCCGAACCGGGCCCCAATTGACCATTCGTGTCGCGTCGGCACACGCGCTGCAGTCCGGAAGTGCTCTGCGCGAACGGCCGACCCACCGCTCGATTCAAACCTGGCCCGGCGGTAGGCAACGGGGCTGCGGCATGAAATTTACGGCAAACTCGCAGCCGGCCGCCGGCGTACGAACAAAGACAGCCGCCACGCCGCCGGCTAAACGGGGATCATTAAAACGCGGCACGGCCGGCGCGGTTCAGTCATGACGGATGGCGACCGGCATGTTTACGCGGGTTGCCATGGTGACTGCGCGCGGCCTGCCATGACATTCTGAAGCCATCGATTGGAGGCGGCCGGCGGTGACGCAACGAGCGGCGATCGCGGCCCGGTGCGGCGGCTGCCGGCACACGAGGTGTCGGACATCGATCACCGGCGCCGGTCAGCGGCCTGCCAGCGGCGGGGGCGCTCCGGAAGTGGCCGCCGGTCGCCCCGCCACGCCAGCACCGGACGGGGGCACTGGTGTACCCAAGACTGCGCCCAGGAGGGGGCCAAACTGGGTCACAGGGCTCTTCTTGCCGACAGGTGTCTTTATGCGTCGTTAGGTGGCATCGATTTTATTAAGGGACGTTGTCCGACTCGGTATCCTATTTTGATCCATTTGGGCTGTTTTTTTTAACTTTTAGAAACTTCGCAGGCGTAATAAGCTGCCGGACACTACTAGTATATTCGCCCCCAACAGCACAAAAGGTCACAGCTCCAAACTGTCGTCCCTTGGTTGCTTCACCGAACGAAGCTGAGCGGAGGGCTCCGTTGGCCGGGCCCTCGGCTCGGTTGGCTCGGTCGCGGCGGCACCCTGCGCAGCGGGCCCGCCTGGCGGGCGGCACGAGCCTGCAGGGCCTCTGCCACCCCAGCGGGCCTCACAGGAGAGCAGCAGACACTACGAGGCCTCGCTGAGGAGAGGGACGGCTAGCGCAGTAACTGTGTTGTCGGGCGTCCAGCCTGTCGCCCCAGCCTGCCCCAAATACAAGTGGACTGAAAGAAGAGCAAGAAGTGCTTCATTCTGACAGCACCGTCGTCCTTCCAGCCGTCGGGTCTCAGCTGGGCAGCAGGCCTTGAGCCGCCAAGACACTGTCACGGTAGATCTCACGGAATGGAATCAGGTCTCGGTAGGCTTCTCTAAAGAGAAAATGAAGGCAGCTAACCTCACGACATAGTAGCGGACCTCAGCAGAGTTAACGGAAGGGCTGAGACACTAACGGGCCTCATGGAAAGGCGTCACACAGCAGGTCTTACTGAAGAACAGCAGACCACAGTCAGATCCACAGGCGAGCAGCGGACGTCAGCGCATCCTCACAGCATCAGCAGACCCGGCAGGCCTCAGAGGAGGGCAGTAGATCCAGCCGGCCTCAGAGGAGGGTGGCAGATCCAGCCAGCTTCAGAGGAGGGCAGCAGACCAGCCGACCTCAGAGGAGGGTGGCAGACCCAGCCAGCCTCAGAGGAGGGCAGATCCAGAGCCTCGGAGGAGGGCACCAGATCCACAGCCTCAGAAGAGGGCACCAGATCCAGTCAGCCTCAGAGGAGGGCAGCAGACCCAGCCGACCTCAGAGGAGGGTGGCAGACCCAGCCAGCCTCAGAGGAGGGCAGCAGATCCAGCTAGCCTCAGAGGAGGGCAGCAGACCCAACCAGCCTCAGAGGAGGGCAGCAGATCCAGCTAGCCTCAGAGAAGGGCACCAGATCAGTCAGCTCAGAGGAGGGCAGCAGACCCAGCCACCTCAGAGGAGTGGCAGATCAGCCAGCCTCAGGGGGGCAGCAGATCCATAGCCTCAGAGGAGGGCAGCAGACCCAGCCGACCTCAGAGGAGGGTGGCAGACCCAGCCAGCCTCAGAGGAGGGCAGCAGGCCCAGCCAGCCTCAGAGGAGGGCAGCAGATCCAGCTAGCCTCAGAGGAGGGTGGCAGACCGAGCCAGCCTCAGAGGAGGGCAGCAGATCCAGTCAGCCTCAGGGGAGGGCAGCAGATCCAGCTAGCCTCAGAGGAAGGTAGAAGACTCAGCAGGCCTCACGGAGGGACGGAAAACCTTGCAAAGGTGATAGACTTGGGCGGGCACCACATAAGGCCAGCTGGCCACGCTAGCTTGGTAAGGTGGGGGCAGACCTCAGCGGACAGCCGACATTGAAACTCATCGACATCGACGCGCTTTAGACCCTCGCAAGCTTCGCGGGAGGCTGGCGGGTGAGAGCTGGCCCCACAGAAGCGCCATAGACTCCGGTAAGCTGCCATGGGATGGCAGGATGGAACACCGCTAGCAGAGTACTTCACAGTAACAGGGCCACCCTGCGGACCTCACGGGGTCAACTAGCAGGCCCGGTCCCTTTGCCGCCGCTGCCGCTCTTACTCTCGGCTATGCCGTGCACAGATCAGCCGTCAGAGCGGGCGCCGCGGGGCAGCCCCGGCCCCAGGTCTCCCGCTCGCCCACCTTCGCGGCCTACCTTTGCCGCCGAGCAGGGCCGCCGCCTTCAGCTGCAGGATGTAGGTCTGCCGCTCCTGCAGAGTGAGCGCCTGCGTAGCCGGCACCTGCGGCGGCGGGCGGCTGACGTCCGCCAACAGCGGCGGA